GTATCTGACCCCGCCCCCCCAACCCCAATTATCAATCTTTACATTGCAAATAGAACATGAATACTTCAGTATAATAGTGTGTGTGCATCGAATTATTCTTTCAAGGCAAAGATTACGTTAAACCACTGCCAGCCTTGCATTTCGTCCAGGAGAGGCGCTGTAATTGAAGCTTCGAGCAAATTAACTATTTCCGACCTACCGCCCCCCCGGCGCACACAATTGTCCAAGTGGTTCGATGCTTCCATTCAAGCATTCATTTACCCAATCACTAGCATTCACATTTACAGCGACTTCTAACCACCTCCCTGTTTCCTGGATGAACCATGGACGTATAATACAACAGGATACAGCGTCGCATGAGGAACAAAATGGCCTGATATTTCAATAACCCCCCAGCTGCAGCAAGCCCCAAGAAGTGTGCCACACTCTGAGGAAGTATTCGTAGTGGTCCAAACGGCGGATACAATTTCCGTATCAGTCTGTGACGTCCACTGGGTCCAGAAAGACTTTTTCCCATTCATCTCAAATCAAATCAAATGTTTTCTAATTATATACACATTTAAAAACAATCTTTTGGTCGACCAAAGTGCTGTAACACCTGTAATAAACACTCATAACTACATCACCAATAAAAAGACAATAATTTTACAACATAAATACAAAAAAACTAAAACACAGGGATAGTCAGATGTACTACTCCGCTCTGACTAGAAGGCCAGAGAGAAAAAGTGTGTTTTTAGTGAGGATTTAAAAACCCCTAGTGTCTGGGCCGACCTTACGTGGAGGGGCAGACTGTTCCAGAGCCTGGGGCCAGCTGCTGCGAAGGCTCGGTTCCCTCTTTTGAGCCTGTTCTTGGGCACTATCAGCAACAGCTGGTCAGCCGACCTTAAAGCTCTGGCTGGGGTGTGAACATTGGGAAAGAGACGTCTGTAAATCAGCGTATACTTTTTTTTAAACTAAATAAACCAGCCAGTATGAACATTTGTATTGCCCTTATTATATTCATAAGGTCCTTAAAGTTGTAAAAGTGGCAACTCCACTGTGCATGCTCTATGAGCGCACTTACGGGTATTTCTGCTCTGACAGCCAGGTATGACGGGTAATCTGTAACGTTTTGCTCTCAAAAAATTATAAATCCTTAATAATATTCGTAAACTTAACCATGTTGTAGCCTGAGAAAGGCTAAACCATATCAAAGAATACATTTATTACATTATCTCATTTAGCTGTAACTTTTATAAACAAAAAAGAAGACATATTGACCAGTCGTTGAACCAGTGACCCTGTGGTTGTGAGTCAACTGCTTTCCAGCTGAGCCACAGCACACACACTGATTCTGACTGAAAACACTCTATAGTTATTCCTGTATTTATTTATTAATTAATTAATTGATGTTTTTATTCCTACTTTTATTTTCTTTTATTTATTTATAGGCCTACTTATGACATGTTCCGACCTCTATATAAGTGAGGGTCTGAGCTCTCTTGATTCCATCGTGTCACCGGGCCTGGGTACAGGAAGGGTAATATGGTTTTTATTATACATCCATGGGTAATATGAGCGTTGTGGTTCAACCGATCTGAATCGCTTTCTGAAGCAGTCACAAGGTATTGACAGGCAGCGAGGCTTTGTTTGTCATCGGTGACGTCACTGGCCCAAAACGATACAAGCCTCGATACAAGCTTCACAAAAGGCTTTGGGGATTACCATACACACGCTCCGAAGCCTCGGCACAATACGTAACATTACTACATACTTCTTTTTCCATCAACATGTGGTACTCACTTTATTCGCAAACTCCATTGTCGCTGCGGAGAATGTTTTGGAGACATCTGTTTACGGATACATTGTTAAAATAAATACATGAAATCTGAGTTCTGAGAGGAAGATTAAAACAAACAACTATTTTTAAATATATAAGAATGAGCACTTTCTATGACATAAGGACAATTAAATATGTTATATTTTGAGAAGCCTGTGACACAAGATTTTCATCATAAATAACTACACTGTGTATGTTTGACTAATAAAGAACCTTGAACCCCTTGCTGGGCGGCAGGGCGAGGACCATGCAGGACCAGGACCAGGCTTCTGCTGGGCTGCAGGACGAGGACCAGGCTGCTGCTGGGCTGTAGGACGAGGACCAGGCTGCTGCTGGGCTGCAGGACGAGGACCAGGCTGCTGCTGGGCTGCAGGGCGAGGACCAGGGCCAGGCTACTGCTGGGCGAGGACCAGGACCAGGCTGCTGTTGGGCTGCAGGACGAGGACCAGGCTGCTGCTGGGTGACTGGAGGAGGACCAGGCTGCTGCTGGGTGACTGGAGGAGGACCAGGCTGCTGCTGGGTTTTTGCCTTGTTTACATAAGAAGATGGGCAGTTGAAGAAGGTGTGCCCAATCTTTCCACACAGGTTGCAGAGACTATCTGAATTGCAATCTTTAGCCTTGTGGCCCAGTTCATTGCATCTCCAACATTTCACTGTGGTGCATTTTCTGAGCTGATTGTTAGCTGAGTTGCAAATGAAGCAGGTGACGGATTGCCCTGGATAAAATTATTCTCCCATCGTAGGGGCCGAGAGAAATAGAGTTTGGGAGATTTTGGATCTCACCAACACTGTTTCTGTTCATCTTGATTTTATATTTTCTCACCCCATACCATATCTCAAATGTATGGGTTTGTATTTACTGATTATATCTCCATATCTCTTCAAATAGGTTTCAACATCATGGTCTGGAATTCGGCCAGTCCAGAATTTAACAATGATGTTTGAAATATCTATTTGAATTGAAGATTCGAAAGTCAAGTCTTTCCACTTTGGATCTGAGGTTTTAGTCAAAAGAACATCAAGGAAACGTCAGCTTCTTTCAAGAAGCAGAGTTCAAATTACTTTCTATTTGGTATCAAACATTCTCCAACATATTCACGACCTGGGGGTTCTCCTGAGCCTGTGAAATTCAAATTTCATATTTTGAAGCAAAAGATGGCACGCATTCTTATCACCGTTTTTTAGCTCCTTCCTTGCCTCTTCCACTCATTTTTGAGTCTATTGGATCGGGTTGCTCAGAACGAATCCTCAAATGGTCAACTATAGGAATAATGTTTACATTTTCTATCAGATTATTCTTCGACGTTATGAAGAAAGTTTCCTCCTTTGCTTCTTCCACTCATCTTTACAGATCAAAGTATTTCAAGTGAATTTCCTCCCTTGCCTCTTCCAGACCTAATTTCAGAGTTGTGTTAAAACTGTGAAGGCCATTTTGTCCTCATGCGCCAAGGAGCAGCTCTCATAGGAAAGAACGAGACCCCGCCTCCGACGCTGTATTCAGTTCTTATTATATATAAATAATATCATATTATACATCTATGGTTAAATCCATGGTTAAAAGTAGTGGTGACGAGAACAACCAATCACAATGTCTTCCATAATAACCTGTCTTTGGCATATTAATAGTGTATTTATTTTACTGCAGGGCCAACGTTAGCCAGACTTTAAGATATGTACAGTGTTTCGACTTTATATGACATTTTATGAGCTATTATCTGTGGATCGAAACACCTTCTGGAAACATTTAGGCTAAGTTAGAAAGACATTGATCAATACGTCAAACAAAACGTTCCCAAGACACACACGTTGTGTCTTCTTAACCACCATAATAAGGTAGTAAAGGAGCATCAACCTTATTTATATCAAAACAATCCGATACACACCGAGATGCACAACTTCTATCTGCAGGGACCGTCTACAAAGTGTTAGTCCCAAGTTGTCCCTTTCAAGATCTAACAAAACCACTTATCTTCTAACACTTCCCTAGTAAAGGAGCATCAACCTTATTTATATCAAAACAATCCGATACACACCGAGATGCACAACTTCTATCTGCAGGGACCGTCTACAAAGTGTTAGTCCCAAGTTGTCCCTTTCAA